TGTATGCATATAAGCTTTAAAATATATTCATATACTGTCCATTTTGTTTTCACCTTGATTACCACCTTAAGAAGAAATAGTAGGAATCAAGATAACAAATTTAACGCACTCAATGTACACAAATATCTACCCTATGGATAAAACTACAAATCATGTTCTGAACAGCATCTTATTATTAACTAAGAATTTCTGGTAAGCAACCTGATCTTTCTTCTACTGAAAAATACTGAATATTTCTACTGAAAAATTTGTAACAATAATTGATACAAAAGCATCTTCCCAACTCTACCTGGTCACATCTGCTAATGTCATTACTTCACATAGTAGTTGTATATTAAAAGTCACAACACTAGACTGAAAATACAAATCATAATTAGGTTTAGTATTAATTTGTAACTCATTTGACTGTGTGGAAAACTTGCAGCAATGTGCACATTCAACATTAAAGCTATGGTTCATGACAGAAGGTGTTCAAAGCAGCATTTTTCATTGGTATAAAGCATGAGAGATGATTGAGATAAAATATTTTTTGCCACAGAAATAATTTTGATCAGCCTTTAATTTTTTTAAAAAAAGTTTAATGTATTGTTCTAGGCTTTTTCACTTCAGAAATTCTCTGCAACTGAAACATTCACATAAATTACAAGTATCATACTTTTTACATTAGGAATATTGGGTCTTTAGGTGAATATCAACTTACGAATGATAAAGATAACAGTTCTTAATAGGAGACAGCTATAGAAAGTTACAGAAAGTGATCAACTAGCAGAATTAAATGTACTATGCTACAAAGGTGTGGATGGAGCAGTGGATAGATGAGATGACCATTTTGCTAGAATCTAAAAAAAAACTTTTGAAAAGTAGCCTTGTTTGCTCATTTTAGCGGTAAGATAGTGCCTGTATACTTTTTTTACATAGGAATTAAAAGCTATCTATCACAACTACAAATATGTAAGGATGTAACTTAACACCACTGAGGGTTTTGTCTGATTCAGTGTAACTGAAAAATGGATAGCTAGGGAAGGGACAGATAACCAGCAAGTAAAGTAGAGACAGACCTTTTCTTAAGCAGAATACAAGGACTGTCGGGAATGAAGTAGCAAGACGGAAAAAGAAAAAAACGCTCTCATCTTAAAGGTACTATAACAAGTTTCTTAGGATCCTTCATGATCAAAGATAACACTGACAGAAACTTTGCACATTGAAGTGGAAGAACTGAACATCAGTGAGACTGATGATCTTGCAGAGTGAAACACTTTGAACACCTCTTGTCACTGAAATGTATTCCTGGTGATAATTTAAAACCTGTCCTTGGTCTTCTATATCTGCTTCATTTGACTTTGACACACAACATTGCCAAAAATTAAATATTGATTACGTCATTTATGTATGGGAGAAGTGAAGACTTCAACTTGAAAGCTGTAATTTTCTTTTATACTAATATCATCTCCCTAAGAGTAGAACAAAATTAGATTTTTGAAGGAATGACTCAGTCATTTGTCCTGGATATATTCTTTTAAGTTATCTGAAGTTATAGATTTAAAATTTTATACTGTAAGTTTAAAAAAAGCCCCAAGAGTCAACATTAATGCAAACATTAAAAATTTTCTCCATATTTATAAAAGGTATTTTACACTAGGTAGCGTATTGCTTTTGTATCTGAAAAGAACATTGCATTTAACTTCATGAAAATGCCAACCACAAACATACACAAAAATACAGTAAGATCTTAGAATCTGAGCAGCTACTGGAAATGACAAGAAAAACCTGCAAGCCACACTGTGTCATCCTAAACTTTTGTCGTGTGAGTATTCAGCAAATTCATCTAACCTTGTTGAGAAAGCAGTAAAACTTTAAAAAGACCAAACCTATATTGTAGAAGATAAAAATATCTGTCACAATCACTATCAACTTTATGGTTGAATGACTGAAAAAGGGAGGACTGTTAGTGCAGTTTTCCCCTGAGTAAAACTTAGATTGCCTCTATATCTGAATCCATCTACTATAAATATGGTTTAAATGGTCTTTGAGCCGCAGTGGGTTTTGCTTGAAACTCAAATGCAATTTAGAGAACAAGGAAGGTGTTCTACAGAGATATATTAAAAGCTAACAAAAGCAAGTTTGCTTAGTTTTGGGGATGTACCTAATGCTAGACAGAGTAGTCCCAGTGGAAATTTATCTTGAGAAGTTCTGACCTCCCAAGAGGCTACAGTGAAAAATATAATTACCTCTTTTATCAGGAAATTAAATTTTTGAGGACTGATTGAAATATACAGGTTCAAACTCAATATTCATCATTTACTACTTTGTTAGAAACAGAGATTTTCAGAAAACATGGAAGATAAAGTGTAAACAGTAAAGCAAATTTAAAATTAAATGTTGTATTTTGTCTACATGATCTGTGTGTATATATAAACAACATTAGGTTTTCCAAAATATAATTATGAAGAGGTAGAGACTTTTTCTAACAGATCCATCAGGAGTATTAATAACGCACTCTCCCATACCTTCTCTCCAATACCCCCATGCATTAGTAACCTGCTGCTTACATTCATTCAATAGATGTGCTCCCGTCATTGCAGAAGCTTGATTTTTTTTCTGACACACACACACGACTTTCTGCTATTCAGTAAATTCAGTGAGAGAGATTTAAGGGTTTATGCACATTTAGGACAAAAAAGTACAACAAGAAAATGGTACAACAAAATAAACTGGAATATGTAGCTGACAAAGAAATATAGTGCCACTAGCTCTATGGCTAGACCACCACTCCAAACAATATGTATAATCAGAGAAACTAAACTGTTTTTCTTTGCTGAAACTTCCTCTCCTTTGTTTCATTTCATATATACACGGTTTTGGAGCCCTGAAATGAGTTCCTAAACCAGCACATGAGAATATTGAAAAGATACATACTTGCAGAACAAAGAAGGAAAAAAAACCACCCTGGGATATCAACTGGATGCTGAAGTACAATTTATCTTTATTCTCACCACTGTGTGGATCAAGAGGACCAGTGTAAATTTAATTCATATTGCATTATTAGAAAGCCAGGATCCAGAAGGAAAAACACAGAAGAATATGAATGAACTGTATTTCTTGACAAATTCAGATGATGTTTGAGAACTTGAGGGTACTGAAAAGGACTGTACAAAAGGTAATGAGTAGTTTGTTTGTTTTTTTTTTTTTTAAGTAATAAGTAAAATGAACCAAGAGCTCTCTAGGTGGCAAAGCAGCTCATACTTTGTGCAAAATCCAGCCTCTAGGTAACAGGAACAGATGAGACCACCCTTCAAGTTTATTTTCCAGTTGGGCTTTCCTAGATCTTTCCCTGTATCAGCTTGTTCCACCCACTTTCAAAAGACATCACAGAAAAGCTGGACTAGGTAGATGTTGCATGGCAATTCCTGTTATAAAAGTGGTGTGGTTTCATACATTTTGAAGAAAATCCAATTTTGCAGTAATACAGGAAAAACAGGGCTTAACATGAAATACCAAAGCATGATCCAATTATGACAAGAGCTCATCTCAACTACTTTCCCAAAGAAGAGTTTCAGATTTCTAATCTGTTTCAAAGTTCTTGTAGTTTCCTTCTGTAATCTCTGAATCTTTGAAGATAGTCTAGAGGAGTGCATTCTGCTTCACAACAGCTTTACTCCTTCCCGTTGTGATAACCTTCCTGAAAATATATAGGCTTCATCTAGAGCTATTTTTTAGCAGTGCTGTCTCTTTTTTATGCCTGTTACTGGTCTCCTTTGGTTTTCTTTGGACACTTTCGTTTTGTCAACAGGCATAAAACTCAGTGCAGTTTCTGTTTTGTATTGCTCTTCTGCTCCGAGTGTTCTAATGTAATAAGCTCTGACTTTTTATTTTTAAGCCATCAGACAAGTCACAATTTTTTAGCAAAAAAAAAATGAGGGAGTCGCTTGCAGACAGAATTCACTAAACATCTTAAGAAAAGTAGACTATATAATGAAGTTCAAGTATGCTGGCCATCAGAATAATTTTGATTCTATTACAGAGGAGGTGAGTTCTGCATAAAACAATCCCATAGGCTAAACCAAAACATTTCTATCTGTGGTTGCCAATAAATCTTGTTTGCTGACGGAAAAGAATAAGACAGCAGGAAAGAAGAACTAGCAGATGCTGGCAATCACTTTAGCAAGCAGAATAATCTTCAAGGATCATGAATTAGATGAAGAAGAATGTTATTGTTTGCCATCTGCTACAGGTCTACTAGTATGTCAGCATCTGGTGCCACAGAAAGATCTTTGTGATGTGGATGCACAAAGCAAATTCAGACAGAATTTTCTTCTGCTGAAAGGAATCCTGCCGAATGTAAACATTACAGGCCTTGCCACTGGTCAATTCACTTAGGTTTTGATGTATGCTATTTAAAGTTTGATAAAAAGAGAACATAGTAGAGTTCACCTCTATGATTAAATAGTACAGTGTAATCAGTAAGAACTGAATAATAATCCCACAAGGTTGGCATTAAAACTTTCTTTCTATTCAATTTAGGCTGTTTTTTGTTTCCGAATGTCAGGCAGCAAATATCTAAGTTTGAGCAAAACCAGTTGGTTTGAAAGTGTCTTAAACCAAACAATAATAAAGTGGGGCACAGAACTGCCCCAGCCCAGGCTAGAAATTTGCACATATGTTTTGTCAACAAAATACTACTTGCTTAATGTTGTTACTCAGTGGCAGGATTATCTATGTTCCTGGGGATATTAAAGACATTCAAGGTGTTAAAAATTTCATATTCATGATTGATATTGCAAGAGATAACATGAAACTTCAGTAACCATAATGCATTGGTGGACCCACATATTAAATTGTGCAACAGTACACATGGAATGAACTGTTCTGTCTTGCATTTATCTATTACTTAGAATGATACAACCCTTGCATGCGAACCAACCTTGTTCACCAGAGGCAATACATTAATCTGATAGATTATATGTCTAAGCATGGAGCTTGCAAGGCATGAATGTACTTACTTTTGGCGTTGGGCAGGATGCAGTGGAGAGACGAGAGGTGGCCTGGGCACGAGGAGATTCTGAAGGAGTAGTACTGAGGGAAGCTGTATCACGTGGGAGCACCTGAACACCACGAGAGATGATGGAATCTGGAATCTTAAAAAGAAGAAAGATGGAATTAATAGTAAAAAATATACTGTATTTAAAACTTACTCAAAATCTTACATCAAAAATGTAGGAATACCCCACTCCTCAGTTTGTAGACCTCATACGTGGTGCTGGCAGTGGATAATGGCATATTCTCATAATTTCAGTAACAAATACCTAGCAAATATGTAAGATCATATTCTAACTGAACTAGCGGAGAACATATTATTTGTCCTGAAAAACCTATGAATCAGACACACTACAACAGGAAATAACAAGAAAGGAATGTTCTTCCTCTTAAGCCTGTTTCAAACCCAACAACGACCAACAGTGATTTCTACCGTGGCATGAAGGGAGGCAGGCTTCCCATTCTCTGACCAGGAGACAATATTCTGAACAGAAAAACATTTATTAGCAATGACTGAACCCCTCTGAAGAAACGTCATGCAGTGAGAAAATTTCTCATAAGAAATGTCATGCAGTGAGTAAATACTCTTCACTCCGTGTACTGAAGACTTCATTTCAGCTACAAGAATTCTTGACGTAAGGTTTGTGTTGCAAAAGCTACAGGTCTCCCTGGAGGGAATACAGGCACTAGAAACCACCATCCAAAGCCAACACTTGGTTTAAAATGCATTCTGAAGGGAAAAATAAAAATGCAATCTTTTTTTTTTCCACATAATGTATTAGAAGGCCAGCTATTTCTAAGCTGGAATTTTAGGAACAGATCCTTTAGCTAGTATTGTTAAGCCACTTAAACAAATGGAATTACATCAAATTACAACAGGGAGAAAGTTGTCTTATTTTCAGTAATAAAAGTGAATCTATCATTATTTTTTATCTTCTGTCTCTTCTGTTCAGTTTTATCACCAGTTCCAAAGAAAAGAGGTAGAAGAATGCATTTAAGAATAAAGCTTTTCTTAGCTTGAACATACTGAGTCTTAGAAATTCTGTTGCTTCTTATTACTGCAGTATTTGGGCCCAGTCATGTATATATCACACCGGCTTTATCATTGACTGGATTGCTAGTTTAACATAATGATTAATTTTTAATTTTTTTCTGTAAAATGGTAAGACATACAAATGATAAATACCTCAGATAGGAGAACTGATCCCTAACATTAATTCTGTAACACAAAATGCAGCAGATATTCTGCTATAACACACCTTCTACAAAGGCTTATTCTGATTTTATTTTCATGATTTTAACCACTTTCTTTTTCAGAGGCAGCACTTCTACCCCAGATCAGATTGCTCTTACTTTCTGCAATTCACTTTTCTATCACAACAGACAAGAAAATGTAGAAATTCAGGTCTTTGACAGAATATATATACACATAGTTTAAGATCTTTCTCCTCATTAAGAATTTCTTAGCTCAGCCTGATGTTCAAGTTCCAGGAGAACCACCAAAAGAACCCCCATGTTTAAGGGAAATGGCAGTAGTAGACAATAAAAGAAAGCAAGAAATGAAGATCCAGTGATGAGCCAAACCACTAACACTGGACTTTTCCAGCCAGGAATTTTTTTCTACATGGAGATGCTGTACCCAGTCTGCAACTAGGTATTTTGAGCATTCTTGCCTAGTAAGGCTTTAGGGCAGAAGCCACTGGAAAGGACCTCCTTCCAGGAACAAGCTTGAATCCTAGCTTTTAAAATCTGTTGTACCCTTAGGACCAGTGTCAGGATATTAAGATGGCTTTGTTGCTTGTCTCTGTGCAATTAAAATGACCAATCTTAAGGCTCAAGTCATTAAATACGGCTTTTTTATGCCATTTTTCCCCCTCAACTTACTTGGTTCCCATCTATGAATAATGACTATATCTAACTTAGCAATTTTGACCCAGAGATACTGGGTTATACCTGGGGGATCTTATTTCACTATAAGCCTTCCTCCACCTGTTAGAGTTTCTCATGTTTATAACCCGTTTATAAGTTGTGTGGAAACAGATCTTGTTCTCAGTGTGCCACAACTGCCTGCTTTCTGCTCTACTGCTGTGTTTCTAGACCTACAGTATTTTTTTGTCAGTCAATTTCTGTCAGCATTTAAAAAACCCCAACTTTCCTCAGAGGATCTTTCAAGGCTAAGTACCATATGCTGCAATTTCCACTATAAATTATGAGTTTCTCTGCACTATGGATGATTATGCTGGGGATATCTTTCTCTCCAGAAACAGTGTCTAACTGGCCTCTACTTGGAGTATTCTGATTTTAAAATGGCATCTTAGAGATGCACTATAAATAGACGGAAACAGGGACAATGATATTCTAATCATGCAAACAGTTTGTAGTCAGAAGCATCATTTCCCTTCTGTTCTCTTTTTCTCCTGAAATCCCATCTTAAATATGCTAAACACAAAAAAAGGTTGACATCCCTAAGTTTTATACAGGCATAGCTCCAATACTACCTACAACTTTTAACACTTCCTTTTAATCTTCGTGACTAAGGACAATACAGCAAGAAATTACATTTTTTTTTAATAAATGCATAGAATGAAAAGACACAATAAAAGAAAGTACAGTTTTAAGTCTTCAAATAAGACACCTTTTCTTTACCCTCCTCTGATAAAAAGCTGCACACATCTTGATATGATTGTGTATGGGTCCATTATACTCCAAGATCCCACAGTACAAATACAATATTGTTTTTACAAATGATACCATGATCCAGTTCTCCCTGGGTTTACTCTGGTTACTCTGGAGTAACCAGATATTACATATTGTCTCATCCCCTTCAGGCAAGTAACTGTTTGGGTTTTTTTTTTCCTATCCACCATATCCATCAATTATTGCTTCTAAAATTTTATCCTGAAAAAGGATATCACCTTTTTCAGAACAAAAAACTCTCTTTGCAACAAAGTGCCTGAGACAATTCCAGTCTCCATTGAACTGCATGTGAAGTACTAATTTTTCCCTGTGAGAAAATTAAAATTTAACCAAAATTTAAGCCAGGACATTAATCAGAAAAGGAAGCTGAAGATAAAAGGAAAAGATGATTACAGGCATTTCATTTCAATGAGAATTATTCCCTAATCCCTACCTTTACAGAAAATACAACTGCCATAAAACAATCCATATATAAACCTATTTAGAACTCTAAGTGTCAGCTTGCTAACTTTCGCAGACACAAAATTTCACTGAGAAATGTTAGTTCGCAACTACAAATTTTGCTCTCAAGAGGTTTATTTCTCTAATATGACAGCGGAGTCTGTTGTATTGCTAAAGCCAGCATTAATATTCTCTTTAAACCACTACAACCTGCTGATTTCAGAGAAGGTACTAATATGTATACTGCATAAACATAAATATATAAAAAATATTATGGATATATACTGTTCATTAAGTGAAAGGGACATGATGCATATATGCATATATGTTATGTGATATGGGGAATGCCTCATTTTTATCATCTACATTTAATAAGTTTTTTTCCTTTTAAAATTAAATTTAGGTAATCTAAGTCTCTAATCAAGGCAACTTCTTGTTAACCATATTAAAGAGGCTGATAAACCCATGACAAATTTCTGTGTTTCCTGGAGCCTGGAAACTTGCAATAAGGAAGGGCAGGATTATTATTGTGTTTTGGATAGATATTTTTTTTTAAAACTTTCACGAAGTCACACTGAGTATTTATGATGTCTCCCCCTAAAAATTTTCAACTCATTTGTCAGTTTCAAACAAATTTAATAGAGGGTAGAGGCCTCAAAACTCTCAATGGGGCACAATAAAACTCTATGTTCAGTGAAAACAGTTTCTGTTTGCATTAGCTGGAGTGGAAAACCTATTGTAACATACTGATGGAGAAAGAAATGCATGAGAAATGAATGAAGTGACAGAGAAAGATATCCACCATATCCATCAGTCATTGATCCTACAATTTTTATCTGATATGACCTTTTCCAGAAGTACTTTTATATCTGTTTAAATATTTGTGTTTGCAGATTAGAGAACTAAGTGTTGACAAGAAGGGGAAAAAGGAAAAGATAGGAGCTCTTTATTCTCTTTTGCCCAGGACTGGAACAAAGATTGACAGTGCTGGTGAGGTACTAGGAAAACAAGCTGTATATGGTAATTACTATGACTGTTATACAAGAGCAAAAATGTCTTAAAAACATAGAGAAAGGACAGCTTAAAAAACCCAGAAACCTTCTGAACAGCTAGGCACTTCCTGCGCTGAGTTTGAAGATCTGATCTGGATTATAGAATGCATAAAACAATAGCTCAAGAGTAATGTGCAGAAGGGAACAGAAGCCTGGGTGACAGCTTAACAGAGTGCTTCAGAGAGGCTGAATTCGCTGTTTTACTGATACCGAAGAACATGGTGCAAATTCTAGTTTAGTAACCTCAACTCAAAAAAATGAAACTATTGGAATAAATGTATGTGTATGTTTGTATGTACACATATATAGCTTTATCATCAGGTGTGTGAACTTTAAAGCCTTCACATTTCCTAAGTGACTTTTAAATACAGAGATGTTACGTTATTTGATTGATGGTTTAAATTACTATTTGCCTAATGGAACAAGAAAGTGCAGCCTCTTGTCATCCAATCCAGTGACATATTTTCCCAAGAACTTACACCACGTTTGCTGGCTGACATGGAATGAACGGGTCAGACAGCACAACCCTCTCTAGGCCAACTGCTTTCCTTAGATTTCTCTAACCTACAGTCATTAATACAGTAAATCACATTTCATTCCTGATGACACTGTAGCCATTATTCTATCTTGATTCAAGCCTAAACTAAACCTCTGGGAGATGGAAAATAAAGTATAGTATTTTGCTAGAGACCAAGTTATAACCTCTGTGTTATAATAAACTAAGTCCTTTCTACCGTCCATTGAAATAGTTGCCACTAAAATCCAGTAATTTGTAAGTCCACTGTATCCTGACTCCTCAAGTCTTCTGTTTTTGGGAAATTCTACTTCTAAACAGAGTACAAAAATAAGGGAGAAACTGCAAGTAAAAAGCAAACTATGAACACCCAGTGCAAATGCTGTATTATGTTGACAAACAATTGAGAGAAAAAAGCAAAGCAAGGCAAATGAAGGGGAAAAAGTTACCAAAATTTCATAGCTCTAAAGCAGTAATTTTAGGAGATTATTTTAAATGTATTCAATTATTGAGTATACTAGATGATAAAGCTGATGACTAATCAGAAACAGAGGCTTTACAGCAATGATCACCTCAGCAGCCAAATGATGATGTTCAAACTGACAGCGCGCACGAACTTTACCTTGTTTAGCCCTGTATCTTAAACAGAATATTTTCTGTAGCATGTTCTCTAAAAGATAGCACTAATGTGTTTTTGTTAGAAGAAAATAAGTAACACTGTCTGTTCACACAGTAGACTAGGAGGCAGGCAGTGTATTTTTAGCTATTGTTAGTGCAAAAGCCTCTTGGAAGTGTCTCTTACCGGTTCTCCTGCATTGCCTGCTGCGTGATGGCAATAACTGATGAGACCAGGGATGGGCTGTTCACCTTTTGCCATGATAGCAGCTGAACTGGTGTAGGATGGATGCTTCTAATGCACAACACATAACAGCTATGAATACAGTGACAGGAAAACATGAAACTATACAAGCAAATGACTGAAAGGGAATGAGGTGAAAACAAGTGTGACACTGAAATGCCAAGCTCATATGAACACAGCCAGTTTACATCTCAGGTATCTTCTGCCTTTAAAAATTGCACATATTATTTATCTTGGCCTATATCAAAAGAAATTAATCAATTTGAAATTTGCATTAATAAAAACTGAAACTTGCAAGTGGTAATTACCTTAATTCATCCCTGTAAAGATATATGTAATCAGGATTTTCTGTACATGAGGAGAAGATCTCCAGCTGCAGCTGTCTTAGAAATGTCAAGATGTCTCAGACCTGAATTCACATTTCTAGAGTTAGAATGTTGCTGCTTTGGTTTAGAAATTGTTTAATATAATTTTGAGTTACTTAGACTTTCAATTCCCACAATAGGAATTAAAAGTAAAATTTGTGGAGTAAATATAGAACAAAGCAGTTTGGAAAAAAAACCTTTCCAAGCACACAGGAATACATTGCCTTTCCATTTGAAAACTGAAGACACAAACCTGAGGTAAATATTTATATATTGCTTCAAATAATATGATATTTATTTGGAAAACATTTAAAATTTGAATTGAAATAATTTGCAAGTGTTATCTAATTTTTTCCTTTTGTAGCCTCAAATTTATTATTTTGGTTTGAGTAATGTTGATCTATAATTACTGGCTAAAACAAGGCTATAAAGACAATGTGATGACATTTAGTTTTGCGGCAGAATTTCACATCTCTTATGCCGACATGCACACTGGAATACAGTAGTCTGGATAGTTTATGACTTTACCTGCTACCTATCTGTCATACTTTTTATCAATGTTTTTAGAAACCAAAAATATTCTTTTCGAAATAGTTATTACGGCTTAGAAAATTTTGTTGCAATTCCTTAATATGCCACCTACTGGACTTCACACGTTCAGGAGTATAAGTATTTTGAATTAAAAAAACCAAAACAACCCCACTAAAAATAACCTGTCACATCAGAATGGTATCATAAAAATGCATGTTATCGTCGAGATAATGAACAATGTATATCTCCCACTGAAATTTGAGATCACCTACCAAAACATGATTCATATATTTTTATGAAGCTATATTTCCACAAAACATACCTAAAATACATCTGTTTGACCATACAGACATCATTGTATAGTCTTAACATGCAAACGAATATTGGTGGAAAGTACCTGACATAGAAACTAAAGGGTCTCTTACGGAAACAAGCCAGACTCACCTTAGCTGCGATGGCTGCTGCTGTTATATGTGAAGAAGAACTGTCCTCTGTTGAGGCAACTCCACTATCCTTCTTCTCTTCCTCCTCTTCCTCACACTGTACTCCTTTGTCTTCTGTCTGCTTGTGAGGGCTGGTGGTTGGAGGAGGAGATAGAGGAGGTGGTGGTGAAGGTAGATCTTCAAGCTCATCGTGTACCTCCTTTACTTTTACAATGGCATCCCGCAAAAGATCAATGGCGTGAGGTAGGGCTGGCAGTATAAACTGAAAGCATTCCTATGCACAGCAAGAAGAGAAATGACTATGAAAAGTTACCTGCAGAAGTAAATAGGGATTTTTCAGATTTATTCTTAAAAGATATTCGGGATTTAGATGTATCTTTTCACCCGATGATAAACAAAACCTTAAATGCCCTATGCAATAGCTCATAGAGGGTAAAAAAACAAACTCAGAAACAGAACTGGGGACTATACTATACATTTTTGCCTTTTTTCATTCAAATATAGTAAGTTGTACAACGGGGCTACTGTAACTAGGCTAATATTGGATTAAAATTTTGGAAAACAAGAGTTAAATTTTCATGAATAGATAATACAGAAACCAGTTCACCGCAGTTGGCAGAATGCTACAAAAATGCAGAATGAAAACATTAACTCTATCCCTGTAGGGATATTAGCTTCAAATCATTCCTATTATGTTCCTTCACAATTAGAGAACAATTCATAAGGGTTTCCATAACTATAATTATATATAATTATATCCTTTTTTATTCATGGACTTATCCTATATACTGGAAGAATGACAAACGACACTGATGTCATTATAATTTTATGTAACTCAGAAAAAATTGTTCATAAATAAACTATTTTTCAAACCTCTCCTTGCTCTATGATCTTAAAAACAATTAGAAAGTTTATGCTATATGGCTGGAGAAAGCAAAAATGCAGATGCTGTGTAACTGTTGTTCTTGTTCCACAATGAGCATATACATATATAGCTACCTCTGCTGCTAAAATATGCTAGTATTTCATCAAATCAAAGAGGAATTTCAGGACATCACACATTGCAGCCTCCTGCTCAGATCAGGGTCAATACAGAATTCAGACAGGTTGCTTAGGGCTTTGTTCAGTAAAGTCTTGAAAAAATCCAAGAACAGAGACTCCACAATCCTTCTTGACAACCTGTTCTAATGCTTAATTACCCTCAAAGTGATTTTTTTTTTCTTTTCTTTTTATCCAGCTGGAAGCTACCTTCTTCAATTTATGACTATTGTCTCTTATCCTCCTCCCAGGCACTTCAGTAAAGAGTTTTCTCCATGTCATTTGAGCAGACTGCATATAAACATTAAATTATTAGAAAATGATGGCAGGGTCACAAGAATGAATTGCCATGGCAGTGCAGTTAGGGAACATACAAGTTGACAGAGAAAGCTGACATTATTCCTTTTGTTGCACTTCATTTTCGGTTTTGTTTCAAGTATAAAGAAGATTTTTAAAATGTATTCCAACATCTTAGAGTATCCAGAAAATAAATAATGATAAACATTTTGTAAATAGATACTGTAACAAATATTTTCAATAAATAAAAATTACTATGTAAACAAAATAAAGAGCAAACCAAGCATCAGAAATTACTAGAGTTTATATAAACCACTTTGCAAGTCAAAAACATGACTCACAAAAGCTGTATTTCCTCAAAGCTTCTAAATAAGAACCCACCTTTCAGTCGCTCCTTTAAGAGTAATGAAAAGTCAGACTACTTCATAGATTTATAAATTCTTTAAACATTCAATTTGGCACTCTGAAGAACTGGAGTAAACTGGATGAGCATAAGATGCTGTATATAATGAATATATATTAAAATATATTTGTAAACACAATAAAGAATTATGACTTCTAATGTAACTGCAAACCTCAGAGTCATTGAGTCTCCACAGCTTAATTTTAAAAATAGTTTAAAATACTGAAGCATACAACCATCATTACTTCAATAAAAAAGCAGACCTCAAGTGCTAAACAAGGACAACAATCTGTGAACTGACCAATAATCATGAAAAGGTACATTAATGATTACCTCATTAGAGAAGCCATGTCCCCCACTCCTACCACTGAAATAAAGCCTTGTTGACTTCACTGTTGATGAATAGATTCCCCGTAAGTACTCTAAAAACTCATGCTATTTGTAAAACTCATTGGTTTAGGCAATTGTTAGTACAATTATGAAAATTGCCATAGACCCAATGATTTCAATGAGCATCTGGTAATTTCACACTTTGCCCTCTTTCATAATATTAAATACCTTTTGCAAGGCTAAAAGAAAAGAAAACAGACCAGAACAACACAAAAATGGAAGTATTCTACAGAGCTTGATTTAGTGGTATATGCCACACAAACTTTCCCTGGAGAAAAAACATTTGGCATTGTGTCCATTTTTGAGATGGAGCATTTACGCTGCTGCCATTTTCTATTAATATTTTAATATTTTATTAATGAAATATATATACTGCTGCTATTTCATAGCTTTATATAAGCTTCTTATACGACTGTATTAATATGATGGAAAGGAAATTAGCAAGTCATAAAAGAGAGAAATGAGATAAAATCCTGGTAACAACCCATCCTATCTGGTTCTTGAGATCCAGCCTGTTATGGTACAATTTTCTCTACTATTCATCTTAAAAATCTTTGCTGAAATCTGATACTTTAAAGATGTTTCATATTAAAATAAATTGTGACAGGACAGAGTATCATCATGACAGGAAAAAATCAATCATCAGTTTCTAAAAAGCTTGCTTGTATAATGAAATCATACGACATTTTTTTTCTTCTCCAGCAAAATTACCTTTTTTATTACTTACTTTATATTGAACTATTGTTAAAATACTTGTTAACATTTTTCCATTTCTTTTCCTCATCCTCTTTCTACAATTTACCTATCTTCACAGTCTGAGCGCCTCAGGGCAGAAAATGACAATTTTTTCTGTACCTAGCATGTTAGGAGTGCTACTGAATACAACAAAACCCACTAGAGATCATAGGCTATTTCATCTCTTTCATAATTCAACAAAAGAAGTACAGACTACTGGAAAAAAAAAAAAGCTTCTTACTGGTGCACCAGTCCTATAAGATATGGGGCCCATTGCTATCTTAAATACATATGACTTCCCACTCATAACTGGAAGACTTTCAAGTAGGTATACTCCAGCCCCACCATCCTTCAATGCTTGTTGCATGTTTTGAAGGCTCTTTAATTTCTTTTCAATTAGAGTCTTATTAGATTTCCTAAAAAGGCTCTAAGGAATGGTAGAACCATAGGAAGACTTACTGAATCCTTGAACTGAAACATGTAGACAATGTATCTGAAAACCTGTGATGGCTGCTTAAGATAATAGTGTTCAAAACATTTCCTCTTCAACTTCTAGGTGACAGCCCACGTAAACATTCTTTTATTTATCTCCAGACCTAAGTCTTTCAAGCAACCGTGACTTCAGGGCTGTGCTGCCAAACACATTAGTGCCGTCTCCTCTGTGATTGGGTACTACTGGTTCAGAAGATGTTGATAAACTACCAGGTACGCATTTGTTAGAGGCCAGAGGTAAAGACATTTTTTAACAAGGGCACTGACATAGTCTGAGCCCTGGAGAAATACGTTCTCATGACTGATGGGGGATCTACCTTAGCAGTTTTGTATCAGGTTGTACAGCCCACTATTCAGCTTAGCAGCACTTGTGTGGAGAAGGCTGTTTTTCTGGGTCTGTCAGCCAACTATACAGAAAGAGCGAGCACTGGAAAGATCTAGCCTTACTAACACAAAAAAAAATTCCTCCTGATGTTTAATTGTGTTTCTCTCAGCTCTACGGTCAGAAAGTAAGCATGAATAAAACCACAAAGCCTAACTTCCCTGTCCAAACTGAGCAAAATGCAGGAAGAAAAGAAAGTGTATAAAGGGTGTAAAGTCTGATACCCATATCCAAAAGATATAAAAAATCCTCAAACTCTTAAAAACGATGTTCCTTTTTTTCCCTCTTGCTGACCAAAATTGGGAACATTCTTCATACTCCAGCAAGTTCTACCATACACTAGACCTTCCTCTTCTGTGTAAAAAAAAGAAAACTTTCTTGGAAGCTGCAGACAACACAGGGACCAGGTACAGGCTGACTAGAGAAGGAGGAAGCGTAACAGACCATTAGACTCTTTATTAGCACTACCTGCTACAGTGAATGCTCTCTTGCACTACATGTAATGCTGTCCTGGTCACACAATACCTTCAGTCAGATCAGAATTGTATTGTTCCTGACTGAGAGTGATGGTGCGTTCAGTTATATGAATATGCATTTCAATTCACATTTTTTAAGATTTTTTGTAGTGGGTACTTTCTACCATTCAGAACAATGGGAGGTACTCATCATAGGTCCTCATTAGCAGATCAGTAAGAACACTTCTTACCTGTGACCCTTTCTTGCTACCTGGCAGATTAATTATGAGAGTTTTCCCTCTGATTCCACACACAGGTCTGAAAAGAAAAAAACCCAGAGTGAAATTCTTGCATGCAACTTTCTCTGCTGTAGAAACAAGAACAGAGCATTTAAGATAAATTATATTATTTATCAGAATTTGTAATTTCGATTTCCAATTCTTCTGCCTAGTAACAAGCGATAGAACAAGAGGAAATGGCCTCAAGCTGCGCCAGGGGAAGTTTAGGTTGGGTATTAGGAAAAACTTCTTCACCAAAAGGGTAGTCAGGCACTGGAACAGGCTGCCCAGGGAAGTGGTTGAGTCTCCATCCCTGGAGGTATTTAAAAGAAGGGTAGACGTGGTGCTCGAGGACATGGTTTAGTGGTGGGCTTGGCAGTGATAGGTTAACGGTTGGACTCAGTGATCTTAAGGGTCTTTTCCAACCTTAATGATTCTATGATTCTATGATCTAAAAATGTTTGCTCAGGAGAAGCTGAGCTGAAAAAGCATCAAACAAGGCTGACAGAGTCTAACATTTAATTGATAGTATAAACATTGGCTAGGTCTCCATCTTTTTTAGATCTGTGTAGCTCCCTTAATTCTATTGTTTACTTGCATCCACTACAGTCTTTGATATAGTCCCTATTTGCTCATACACATGGTTCCTTTGTAACGTAATTGATGGTGTCAAACACTATTTCCCTTGCCAGGTAAAAATACTAAGTCATGCTCATTGCATTAATTCAAATATGTCTTTTTTTTTTTTTTTTTTTTTTTTTTATTTAAGATGCAACATAAGAAAAGCACAGAGGGAAGTAATTCTCAAGTGAAAACTGCACTTATGCAATTCACATCTAATTCTTCCTAACAGTCCTTCCTTCCTCATCAAAAAAAGATGAAACCAGCTGTCAAAGATGGAAGATTTTATTTTATTTTTTGCCTTTAGGGAATTCTTTTGGTCTCGATGCAGGGCTGAACTTAGACACTCAAGTGCTGAATGCTTTCTGTTGTTTAAAGTTTGCCTCTTCCTCCTTTTAGGTAAATATTTTTCAAGAAAAAAAAGAATTAAAATTACTGGATTTTGTCTTAGAGGTTGTAAAGAGTGCCTTCTCCTTTTCTCCACTGTTTATGAAACCAGTGGTGAAAAACCCAGGGCTGGGATATAAGGATAAGAAAAAAGGTAAAAGGACGAAACCAAACCACAGAGATATGGAGGCTACAGTTGAGAGAAGCTGTGTAACAATCTCTTTATCAAACAAAAACATGTACCATAAGTAAAGAGAGAATAGAAAAGAAAACGATTTCTTGATAGGGCATTACCAAAAATTTTGAGCCAAAGGATGTGGTCTGTGGGGTAGCCAACTTCCCTAGATTTCCTATACAAACAATTCTCAGTGATTAATGTCATTTATTGGTAGCATGGCATTTTCTAGCAAGGTAGCAAGTATTCTACTGACAGCTGTCATAATGCTCACAAATAAATAGCACAGATATTGGTTTTGTGCCACAAAATGAACTTTTGATATCCCAGTCAAGCCAGCCTGAAGAGAAGCTGTATTTTCAACTAGCAGCTTGAATATTGCCTGACTCCTAGCCTCTGTTTTCCCATATTTACTTCTTGCACACTATATACCCTCAGTTAAGAAAGAATTCCAGGTAGTTGAGGAATGCTCTACTGCAATACAAAGATGAAGAGCCTGAGTTAAAGAAATGTGCTCATCCACTCTTCTTGCAGTAGTCAAACTTACAAACTCAATCCAGCAAATCCCATATGTGGGATACAGTTTATGACAGATACAAAATAAAGGAAACAGGAATTACCCACAGAGGAATTAAAATGAGGTGGAATTGTGTTTGGCAGATAGCTCCTTTATAATAATCTCCTTCTTGGCTCTTTTATTCTGTTTTAAATAATTTCAAACTAAATGACCGGTACAACCAACCAATAATAACGAAGGACTAAACCAGCAGCCATTCTCCTGAAAGCTACAAGTTTTGGCTGCCAATAGTCACATCTAGTGGCTCGACAGAAATGGAGCTGCCAAAAATTTCTCAAGAGAGCATGCAAAAGTAAGTAAAAGTACCTAAGAACTGCATGGCTTGCAAAAAATATTGTGTGTGCTCACAACACAAAAGCACACAAAATACGCATGCATTCTGAGTAATTTTAGAGATAAATCAACGATGTTCCTGCAAATGTCAACAGTTGAGGGAGATGCCGTGGATGTCATTTTGTCCTCAGCCTTGTGATGCAGGGACAGAAATTTAAAGAAAACACAAGGAAGTCTGAGAAAGAAAAATACAAATTGAAGCAAGGGAGCAGAAGGAAAAATAGGATGCAGGAGAAAGAAAAAAAAGGATGTGGGAGGAAAGAAATACAGGTCTAATGCAGCAGTAAGAATGGAGAACATGATCTCTTTTGGGAAAAAAAAAATGATCTCCCTGGGAAGAAATTATGCTGGTAAAAGCAGAACAGATGTGCAAGGAGATAGACAGTGCTTTAAAAAGCCTCAGTAAAGACTGGCACGGCATGGGTAGTTGACAGGTAAGGAATCGGGTGAAGGGAAGAGATAATTCTGGGACAAGGACAGTTTTGGAAAGCCACAGAGAAGGAAACACTTTCAGGAAACACATAAAAAGGTCTACGATGCTCTAAGATACTCCCTGCTGGACCTCAGGACTGAATCCGAACTATGAGAGCCCCTCATTTGCCCATAAGTATCTGTGAATCCAGTCTACAAAATAACTCACCTAATGCTGGCCCATAGTCAGGAAGACAGTCTATAACTTATAACAACTTTTAAAAGTTCATGTGATAAAATTCAACACGATTGACCTAACATTTCCAAACCTGCAGGTGATTTATAGAAGTGTCAGCTTAATGTTGCATAACAGAACTTCTGCTTTCGTTTTTTTGAAAAGTCAAAGAAATTACATGCAAGATTATCCATCTGAACTTCATTTCAAAATGAAGTCAATGAGAGGTAAGCTTAGGACAAGTGACATTTGATGTTAAATACTTTGAAAAATTAGGATCTACATTTTTCAAACTGTTTACCTAAAATTAGTGTATGTTTTTGACCTCTCCTAATATGTGCCTTTGTTCTCATTGTAAGGGGGGGATTACAACACTACCTTAATTTGCAGAATTTTCTATGAAAATATATTAACAATTTGTGTCTTAGAATAACGAATGATGTAAGCAAAATCCCAGAGGAAGTGAGTGTGCATTCAGAGAGGATTCTGAATAAAGAGCACCAAAACCGATACAGGATTACACAGAGGACAACTGAAACAAAGAAAAGTAAATTTCCTTCCTCCATCTTAAGCATTTGCAGAGGAATTCTACAAAAAAATGTAATCATAACACACATGTGCATTCATGCAGAACTGAGATTGCACAAGAAACCATAATGCTGTAATTCTGCAATTTTTGTGTACTTTATGATCTGAACAGTGTTATACAAATAATGGACTTCTGCATGCTGATTGCTTTTAGGCCTGAAGTAAAGGTTTTCCCTGGGAAATTTATTAAGGCCTAATATGATTGCATGCACTATCTTTGTAATATTATCTCCCATCATTGTCATCAATTACTGCTGAAAGTGGCTGTAGTTTAAGGGACATTTTCTTGCTATATACACAGAAGAGTCAGGTTGCAATCCAGCATTTTGGTTCCGCTACCATTACAACATCCTTTCAGGCATCCTGATCACACCACATCCTAAATCAAACTCAAACATCTAAGTGGCTATCCTTTTCCTGATCAGAAACAGAACAGCTAAATTAACCTTTCCACTCCTTGTGGAAGTATTCAGTTATCCTTTCCCTTCAGATAAACACACACTATGATATAAAAAATTGTATCAGATAAAAAAATGAAAATGCTCGCTAATTTGGACAGAATCTGAAGGTGTTAACTTGGTAATGTTGCCCTTTCAGGTATGTGATATGAAAAGTTTTAAAATGCCTTGTCGAATCATTAAACCTCTCATCTAAATGCCCTTTAAAAATGGAAGCTATCTGAATACAAAGTTGCAGATTTGAAATTTACTTCTTTATTTCTGATATAATTATTTTCTTGTTATACCCTCATTATACGAGAAATCAAAAACCAGTAACAGCCATTGTTTCGTAGTTACCTTGAAATAATGTGCAAGCGCAAACCAACTTATGAAAGGTACTGATACTACTAAGCCTATCATAGGTAAAATGAGGTAAATTGAAGGAATAAAATAAAAATCAACTCCAGAAAGAAATACAGGATAACAAGAGATGTCACTGATATAAAAGAAACACCAACAGGCAGAGAAACAGTTACTAATTATTTAGTAGGAAATACCAAACTCTAGGAGTTGAAGTACTATAATCGGAAAGCACGGGATAAAATACCACTTAATTTATTCAGAGAGTTTTTGCTGATACTGGAATAAAAGCAATATCAAAACAATACATTTGTATTTATCAAGGTTTTTTTTTTGCTAAACAAAGCCTTTTAGTACTTGATGAACAACATACAGAAGAATTCTTCACTCACCACCGAAATGCCAAAGCTCTAGGATGAAAAGACAGCTGTTTAACAGCATGCATCAATATTACAAATAACCTGGCACAGAAAATACAGGAGGATACAGTGTCTAATGGAGACAACAAAGGGAATTAAATGAGAGAACGCAATTACCATTCTTGGAACTTGGCCACTTCACTGAAGTTAAGACTTCTGGTCTTGATAACAATGGCAATCTTCAGTTATTTGTCATTTCGTGACAGTATGTATTTCTAAGGAAATGGTTCACCTCATATGTTGAAGGAAATAGTCTTACCTAGAGAGCATGCCCAGAGGAGTAACATTAAGTGATCCCATCAGCATTGCCAGGGCCATCCCTGGGGCTTCTCGCTCTATTACTTCTTTAGTGGCCTGCAATCAAAGATTAAATAGCGAAGTGAGTGAAGAAGTGCAAGGACAAGAAAAATATGAAGCCAGCTAAAATTTGGTTAAGAATATCTCCTTTTTTTGTTTCTGCCAAGAGACGTCCTTGCTAAATTCTCAACACTGAAATATGTTAAAGAATTTTCTCTTGGGTGTGTAAAATAGGG